TACGTTAGCGGGCTGCCTTAGCAGACCTGCATGGTGTACGTTAATGAGCTGCCTTAGCAGACCTGCATGGTCTACGTTAGATTGGCTAAGGCGGCCTGCTATTGTATACTATGCAGGTTTGCTAAGGAGGCCCACTAATGTACACTATGCGGATTGGCTTAGGCGGCCTGCTAATGTACGCTATGCGGATTGGCTAAGGTGGCCCGCTAATGTACAGTACTTGGGCTTGGTAAGGCAGCTCACTAATGTACACTATGCAGGTTTGCTAAGGAGGCCCCGTAATGTACGCTACATGAGTTGGCTAAGGCAGCCTGCTAACGTATGCTATGCCAGATAGCTAAGGCAGCCCACTAATGTACAGCACTGTAAATGATCTCATGCAGATCCCAGCAGACAGGGCCTAGAAACAACGGAAGCAGATTTACTGCGTCCCGCCTACCGTGTTTGTCTGGGAGCCAGGAGCCAAATCTCTACACAAGGAGGCACGGCAGCTGTAATCCGAGCCACTATTTTTGGCATGGTCACATGACTATTACATAAGCGTTTTCTTCTTGCTCTGAAAAACAGTCGATGGAGACGCGGAAAACATGCTCACATAAGTCACCTCAGATCTGTTAAGGTTTGAAGTAAGGTACTGACATCTTACTTCAAACTGGTGCCTCTTCTCTTTATAACTCCATGTCAGAATCAGAGGAAAACCTCTTGGAGGTGTCTGCTATTTGTGGAAAATGCTTACGGGTTTCCTCATTGTCCTGTGACCGTGGGATGTACATGTGATTCACTCTGAGCCTTTGATCTCCTTTAGCCAGCCCAGACGTCCAGCTGTAAACTGAGTGTGTTTTTGCTATCTTTTCCTCCCCGGGCTCATCAGGAAGAGAGAAAGCATGATGGAAACACGGAAACAGGAGAGCAGAGAGATGGAAGAGCAGAGAGACCAGTTAGGTAGGGGAGCCAATGCACTCATTCCGAGAAACTGGGAGAAATCAGAAACCTGAACAAATTAGATGCATGTCAGCAACAGTTCAGTGTGTGAAGTGTATGTACCCCCAGGCACTGGGCCAGAAAACAGATGCGTGTCAAAGAGAGCTCAGTCAGAGGCGTTTGGGTTGTAGGTACCCACCGGGCACCCAGCCCAAAAACAGGTATGCGTCAGCGAGAACTCGGTCAGAGGCCAACCCCGGGCTCTGTTGCAGCACCAGTGTCTGACGTCACCTGCTTCAGTGTAACGCTGGTACCGATGTCGCCGGGAACATGTTTCAAAGTCATCAGCAGCCAAAGGGACCGTGAGAATCCACTCAGACCTATCTGGGGATTGGCACACCGAGCTGAATCATGACAACGTGCATGATGCCAGCGTGCAAAACGGAGACTAAACAGCAACGGGAACATCACAGGCCACGCCGACTGTCTCATTTGGTTATACACAAGAACACAAACCCTGATTTTCTTTATGACATTTTGCATTGATGACAAAGAACAAAGTTATCAAGTGGTGGGTGGAAAAGATGGCTGATAACACTTACATAATGGGAAGGAAGATATACCCTAGGTCATGGGAGGCCAAAGGAAAAAAAAAACCAGGCAACTAGGCCTGATTGGCTGGGTGCTGACCAATGACAGCGAGACCAAAATGGAGTCAGATGAACCTTCATGCCTTTATGACTTTATCTTAATGACTGATTATAACCTGCCCCCTGACGACCCTGTCCCAAATAAGTGTCTGGAAGATGGATGGCCTAACCTCTACAGCAGCTGCAAGAGAGCACCCCCTGTGGACATTCCCCGCCATAACCCTAGCCACCACCTATCTGATCCAAAGATCTTAACAGCTGCTGTCAGGATCAGAGGCGCTGCTAATGCCTGCTTGTGTTCTGGATCTCTGTGCTGACTCATCTCTGTGAAAAGCAGAGTTCTCCCTCCCTCCCTCCCTCTCACAGCTGCTGCACTGAGGTTACATGAGGTAACCTGCCCGCAGCACAAATCACTGTTACTGTACGACCTGCTGAATATAAATAGGATCCTGAGGGAGGTGCCGTGCTGCTCGCTTCCCGCTGGCAGGGGCTGGGAAAGTGTAAATCCGAGTGGGAACGCCGCTCAGGCCAAAGGCACACTCAGTGAGAGCTAAACGGCGGGAGAGTGGGACCACTCCATCATGCGTGTCAGATCCTACACAAATGCCCACCTACTCTACCAAGGACCATCAGGCAGATGCTTTAAATGCATTCTTAATGAACAAATTAGATACATTAGACTGTACATAGCTTTCTTATTACAGTACGGAATGCCATTTACTTTAGCGTGTGGTAGCAGTGTTGACCACATGCACCGTCTTTCGTTTTACCCTCTTCAAACACCCATGTCTCCCCATTTACTTAAGAAAGTTACACCTTAACAAGCACCTGGTTCCACTTACATCTCATTAGGACCTCCCTGGAGAAGGAATCAAATGGGATTTTCACGGGAGGTACACGCTCCTCTGGCAAACATCAACACGCTGGCCAGCAGTGACACACTTCTCTGTAACACACTGGCAAGCACTGAGACTGTCCTCTGTGACACACTGGCAAGCAGTGACAAACACTGCGTAACAGATTGGCAAGCAGAGTCACACTCTGTAACACTGGCGAGCAGTGACACACTCCTGCTTAACACACTAGTGAGCAGGGATACTCTCCTCTGTGACACAATGGTGAGCAGTAACACAATCCTCTGTAACAAACTGGCCAGCAGTGATACACTTCTGTGGAACACACTGGCACTGGACTGGTTGAATTTTTCAAAGACATCCTAGGCAATGTTCATTAGAAAAACACCTTATGTAGGCCGACTCAGGGTACACCTGTGAGTCCAAACACAAATTAGGCCTGTTAGTATTATCATCATTATAATATAAATTATTATGTGACATTAACTGATCTTTTATGACACAGTTAACTCTCTGGCTAAGTTAAAGTAATTGAAAACATCATTTGAATTTACTTTGAATATGAGTCCTGAAGAAAGATCGTCAGCTTTATCATACAATGGGAATAACACAAGAGTCACCCTGGTGAGATGCAGCTCCTTCTGTTTATCTGCTTTGCTTTGGCTTTGAAGAGCAGCACTGCCCCTCTCGCCTTGGCCAATCAGACAGGGCTTATTTACTTCCACCCCCCCACCCCCCATCAGACCTGCTACCCAGTAATCCTGTTCATTTTGTGGATCAATCACGTTTTGGATTCTTTTGAAGACACTAAATAAAACTCCTCTGCAGAACCAAGTGAACAAACAAGCTGCTTCTGGTTCGATGGCCTAACCCAGGGCTGTTCAATTCGTGGTCCTCGAGGTCCGAGCACTGCTGATTTTCCAGCCTTCCTCTACCTGTGAGCCAGGTGTGAAGCCTCTTTGGCCAATCCGATCAGTAATTATTAAACTAACTAGCTGGGAGAACTGAAAACAAGGCCTGGATTTGGGATGAAGGGCCAGATTTGCAGAGCCCTGGTCTAATGTAATACTAAAATAGGCACAGTACATCACAAAAATAAGGTACTCACTATATTCACCCCCATATATACGGTAGCAAGCTTGGGGGTCACAGTGCAGGGTCAGGCAGCATGAAGCGGCCCTGGAACAAGCGAGGGGTAAGGGCCTCGTTCAAGGGCCCAATGGCCGCATCAGTCTGCCTTGATTTCAACTGGCGACCTTCCAATCAAAGGCACAGTCCTAACCCGCTAAGCCACATATATACCCCTCTATTCTATTCTATTCTATTCTATTCTATTTTAGTAAATTCTATTCGGTTCTTACTTATGTCATTTCTAACCTGCTCATTGGCTAAGGACTAGCCGAGGCTCCTCCTATTTTTTTTTAGTTCACAAATACTGTTTAGTCTGATCTGGTTAGATCATAGGCAGGGTTTGTAAGAGGCGGTGCATGCAGGGTAATGGCGAAGCGAAACAGGGGTGACTTACCCTCGACGGCTCTCTTGAAGAAGACCTTGCAGCTGCCACAGGTGATGACCCCATAATGGCAGCCGGAGGCCTCATCCCCGCAGACCAGGCACACTTTGGCCGTAGTGCCGGACGATGAAGTTCTCAGGGGGCTGGGGGCACAGCAGAGGGAGTTTCAGCATTCAGACCTCGAACACGGATCACAGTAAATACACGGTAAATACTAACATTTGCCTCCCGCTGCCGAAACAGGCACCATATCTGTTCACCATGACTCACTAAAGAGCTCACAGCACATATCACCAGGTTAAAAATGCACGTTGTTATGCTCACTTTGATGTTTTTGTAAATTACAGCCCCGGCACTCGTCTCCACAGGCAGGGAGGCAGTGAGTTTAAATCCAATACCAAAGGTCATAGAGCAAAGTGGAATGTTTCTGTATGTGTGTATGTGTGTATGTGTGTGTGTGTGTGTGTGGGGGGGCAGAAGGCTGAGGCAGGTGTGGGACAATAGCTGAGGTAATAACTGAGACGGGTATGGGGTAATGACTGAGGCAGGTGTGGGCAATAACTGAGGCAGGTGCGGAGCAATAACTGAGGTAGGTGTGGGACAATAACTGAGACAGGTGCATGACAATAACTGAGACAGGTGTGGGCAATAACTGAGGCAGGTGTGAGACAATAACAGACAGGTGTGGGGCAATAACTGAGGCAGGTGCGGGGCAATAACTGAGGCAGGTGTAGGGTAATAGCTGAGGTAATAACTGAGGCAGAAGTGGGGTAACTGAGGCAGGCGCATGGGAATAACTGAGACAGGTGCATGGCAATAAATGAGACAGGTGTGGGGCAGTAACTGAGGCAGGCGCATGGGAATAACTGAGACAGGTGCATGGCAATAAATGAGACAGGTGTGGGGCAATAACTGAGGCAGGTGTGGGGCAGTAACTGAGGCAGGTGTGGGACAATAACTGAGACAGGTGCATGACAATAACTGAGACAGGTGTGGGCAATAACTGAGGCAGGTGTGGGACAATAACAGACAGGTGTGGGGCAATAACTGAGGAAGGTGTGGGACAATAACTGAGGTAGGTGCATGGCAATAAATGAGACAGGTGCGGGGCAATAACTGAGGTAGGTGTGGGGTAATAGCTGAGAATGGTGGGGGCAATAACTGAGGCAGGTGTGGGGCAATAACTGAGAGGTGTGGGGCAATAACTGAGGCAGGTCTAGGGTAATAGCTGAGGTAATAGCTGAGGCAGGAGTGGGGTAATAACTTGGGCATTGTCACATACAGACTGTCTTCCTCTCGTTATTTGCTGGTTACACTCTCATTACACACCTGGAGTGTAACCAGCAAACAGGATGTGTTAACCTGAACCAGAAATGACTAGCATCCCATGTGTGGATGGGCACCAGAATCCACCTATGCTTCAGAAGACCTGCTGAAGACCTACTGATTAACATGTGAACTGCCTTTGTGCCACAGCGCAGACACTCGAATGGATATATCACTGAACAAAGCGAGGCCTTTTGGCACCCCCACAGTAAGGATATAAAACAGAATGAGTTTGTTCCCCACACGCGGAATATCAAAATTACGAAATAAATCATGTTCTTTACTAAATCAGCAGAAATAGTCTCCGTGGACCTGGTATGTCTGCTGAAATGTGTGTTATAAGCCCAAAGAGCAACCTTCAAAGCATCCCCCATGGCATTAATTGTACTTGACGCGGGTCTGAACCGGCTGCATTTACTCAGTGTGGTAATTCCTTGTGACAGCCAGCAGAGGCGCTGTTTGTTCTTCTGAAACAGACATGTGTCCAGGCCGCCATTTAGCCCAAAGCCCTCCCCAGCACCCACTCCTAAAGACACATCTCCTGTTGTGCAGGTGACAGTGCCGTGTCCCCAGCGGTCACCAGCTTACGTCATCAGGCAACATTTCACTGCTGACAGTCACCTTCCTACGACAGGCCTCCACTCCCCTTGAACCTGACTGACTTTTCTCTATCAATAAGCTTTACTGTCGTTAAATGAGATAAAGCCCCCCCCCCCCAATCCCCACAAATCCTTGCAAGAAACCAGCGACAGGATTATGACAATATTATTTACAATATTATTAGCTGTGCAGAGATACTGGGACTGACCCTCCCAACCTGGAAACCACCCCGACGTTAAACCCTCCAGAACTCCAGACTTGGAACAAAGACAGACTTCACAGATTTACTGTAGATTAAATTCAAGACTCTACCATAAAACAGAAGCTTTTTGGTATTAAATTACACTCACTGAAAATCACGGAAGTCTAAACTTTTCTAATTTATTCTCTCATACTGCTTCCTTCAGTTGGATTCATTTATTATTGTTTATCTCTTCCAGAAAGATGTAAACCAAACAATTTAATCCCGAAAAGTTTAAAATATTTCTGTTGACCTTTACACTTGTTTTACACCTAATTAGCTTCTCAGTGTTAAAACACGACATCCATGGCGACCACCAACACTCAACAGAAGTCTCACGCAAAAATGTTATGCTTCCTGTGTTAAGGTTTATCGATTTTTGCAAACATTCACTGAATGATTATGGTTACCATAGTAACCTGCCTGCAGTGTTTATTTATTTATTTATTTTAAAAGCCCAGCGACAGTAAGCAGGAATGAAAGATGTTTGTTTGGGATTTGAACTGCTCACACACATACAGCACCCTAACCCACTGAGCCACACACCAAACAATTAGTTATTAGACTTAATTTTACATTTAATTACACTTACATTTAGGTTACCTTTTAAGATTCTAGGTTTAAGTTCAATGCTAACATATTCCAAGTTTCTAATGGTAGTGGCAGTGAGCTCTTGCATGGCAGAGCTGCCAAGAGACATATATCCCACAATGCAATGCAACAGAAGGGGCCGGTTCAGGATCGCTGTGTGCACGAACCAGGGTTGCCAACTCTCACGCATCTGGAGTGGCACTCATTCTTCCAGATTCTCATGTCACGCAAAAAGTCTTATGGCAAATATATATTATGCCATTATAAACCCAAAATTAGCTACACCAAAAGTGTTGGTGCTAGTCTGCAAACCCTACAGACTATTTAGAAGGTGATAAAACTCTTACATACATGAAAATGTATGTGCATGTTTGTGCAGACTCGAATTGACAATCTCACGTCAGCCAGTTGACCCTGGCAACCCTGAGGTACTGCTATCTTCAGGCACATCTACAGACAAATGCAGGCTGGCGTGGGCGTCTGCTGCTGGAGCGGCAGTGGGGGCAGTGGGGGCAGTGGGGGCATGGCCCACATGCTGACAAACACATCGCCCTCTGCTCTCACACCTTGGCAGTGTGACGGCTGCTGGTGACAGATGGGCAGAGGCCTGGCCTGCAGGACAGCGTGTTTGCACCTTCAGAATCAAAATTCAAACTGCCGTCTGTTTGTGTTAAAGCAGTAAATGGTCAGGCACTCCAACTGCTGCTGCCCAGCTAAAGTGAAGCGCTGCTTCAGTCAAAAGGCCTCGTAGACTGCCGTTTGTGAGCATAAGCACTGCTTCAGTGAAAAGGCCGCGCAGACCGGCATCTGTGAGCATAAGCACTGCTCCTCAAGCTCCTGCTTCAGTCAGTACCTGAGGATGCATCCAGACCTGTAATCAGAGGTCTACACCTTCATCAAAGACCATCTGCTAAACAGACCACTGTATCCTCCCATCTGTTATCAGCTTAAAGGGGCAGAGTCCCAAAAGACACAGACACATATATATATGTGTTTTTCTTTCACATAAGAACATCATTTGAAGTTTATTATAATACGTGAATGCAAATGACCATACTGAAAATGCAAATATACCTTTAAAAACAGTATAAAACAAGTCCATAATCAATCTAATGGAGAATATCTGTATTCCTACAATAGACACTCAGCAGCAGAGAGCTATTTAAGGGGTTCGTGGGAAATGGATGACTCGGTTAAAATAGAAAGCTTACTGTAAGGGCATTTGTTAAGCTGCAGAAATATTTTACAGAAATTGTGGCAGATGTCCGAGGTCAGATATTTAACTAAAATTCACACTTTGAATCTTATGTACATGACACTGAAATCAGCATAAAACCAACAAGTAGGAGACATACGGGAGACAGAAGTGTTAGAAACACAGACCCAAAAACTATAAAGGCAGAATTAGAAACTATTATTGTTGTCGTAGGCTGCTGTGGGTGGACAAGAAATCCTTAACGTGTAGAAAGAAGAAATTCCAGCACAACGGCCTGTTCAAACAGAAACCAGCACAGGTACCGGTACAATCAGCAATCAGCATAGGTACCTGTACAATCAGCAAACAGCAGAGGTACATGTACACTCAGAAAACAGCACAGGTACCTGTACAATCAGCAAACAGTACAGGTACTTGTACACTCAGAAAACAGCACAGGTACATGTACAATCAGTAAACAGCACAGGTACCTGTACAATCAGCAAACAGTACAGGTACCTGTACAATCAGAAAACAGCACAGGTATATTCTGTAAACAGTGCAGCGTCAGGGTCAGCTCCCTTTGTCCCAGTCTGTGTCCTTTTCCCCGGTTGGCCAGCAGGTGTCACTGGTCATCCCGTCCCTCCTGTTTTCAGTCTGTTGTGCTTTCCTCTGCTCCCTGTTGGCCACATGGCTCAATGCATTGTGCATGCGGCTGCCTGTGATTCTCTCTGTCTTGTGTTTGAATCCCGCCGCCTCTGTTTTTGTAGATTTTGTTCCCTTGTGTTTCAATTGTATCAGTTTTCTAGTCCCTGTGTTTTCATTTGTATTCGCTTTTGGTTGTGTTTTCACCTGTCAGTTTTCCCCATTGTTAGATTCTGTTTTCCTAGTTTGAGTTTCATGTTTTAGTTTATTAGCTTCACCTGTTGCCTGCCCTTGTGTGTTTCCCTGATTGCTCATTGTCCTGCACCCTCCCTGACTGGTTAATTGTCTGCCTCACTCCTGCTTGCCATTACCCCATTCAGTTTTTGTATTTAAGTTCCTGTCTGAGTTTAGTCCCGAGTAGTTCGTTGATTTTGTTTGTGATATTTGGATGTTAATGTAGTTTTGAACGTGCTGTTAGTAGCCTGCCTGTCTTGACCCTTTTGTATATTTAGTCTTTGTTTTTCCCCTTTTGTTTTTGACCTTTC